CATAGAGATCCTACCATACTACCAGAGACAGCAGAAAAAGCCGTCTATCCGCACGATCAATAAAGCTGTACTCGATCGATTCTCCGCCAGCGTTGCGCAAGGCGTGATGCACAATAGGGATCTTCGACGGAGGGCACTCGAGTTCAAACGCCGAATGGATAGCCAGGATATCTTGACGTTCGAAGCGAGCAGGTTTTGGCTCCATCAATTTAAGATGCGCAATTATATAGTAGCCAGAGCTATCATGCATAAAGTCGGCAGGGATTGGCAGCAACAAGAAGATCTCAAGACCAAGCTCGCGGCTGACTATGGTCAATAAATGAAGCTGCTAATCGCCACGGAGAAGCTGCAGCCCAATGAGGTCATGACCGCCGATCAGACTCGTTTTGAAGAAGAGATACACAGCCATCGCACATTGTGCCCGAGAGGATGGTTGCGTGGTTCGAGCAGTGGCAGGATCGGCGTCCGCCAGTACCCATAGCTATAAGATCATGCCTGTTGTGACGATGGCCGGCGAAATGCGACTCATGTATGCATTGGTGACAGAGCCGACGGGAAAATCCCCAGAAGCCCGACGACTCAATCCTCCGAATACCCGCAACGCGACCAGTTTCTGGCTTTACAGTCTTCCTGCATATACCAATTCAGTGCAGAGCGGTTCAGAAATCTCGTCTGTTTTCTAAAAGCAAGATACCTAAAAGTAGAGCCTGAATCCTGGATCTCTCCTTACAACTATTGCTTCGATTCTATGGAGTCGGATTCGTGCTCCAGAACAGACTGCCAAGCTGGCGCTTTCATTAAGTGAGAAGATGCTCTGCGCTCACTGTGAGAAGGTGCTCTGCGCTCCGCATGCGATTTTTGGATAGCTTTTTTTGGATGACGACTGCAACCCATAATATCCTCATGTTCCCTGATAAATAGAGTTCCTAAATTTCGGACACCCACACCCCAGTTGTGAAGCGTCACATAGTCTCCAGCGATCGCGCCCCCGCAGTCGGGGTTTCTTTAGAAATGAAGCATAAACCAATCAATGAATCAATCATCAATCAGACATTTTCATTTTCCGACTCTCGAATAAAGATAGATTCGATTGCGGTTATCTTATTCTAGTCTTTCCCACAACGTCCGGCAACAGGGAAAACTCATCAGAGGCGATTCCCTCGTCGATGTCATCGTCGGTCTTCGCTCTTGCGGATTGTATAGATATGAAATGTCCGGAATTTAGGAACTCTACTGATAAAGCCTCTCGTACCGATCTTTCCATACCAAACTCTCGAATGAATTCCGTAAACGCCTACAGAATCTCAAGGCCTATGGAAATTCATTCAAAAGCCATTCTGGTGCGATTGTCGTCTTCTTCAGGTTCGATCAGGCGGTCGACAAAGTTGAATGGGGTCTGATAAACGCGAGCATTGCATTCTGCATCGATCGATCCTGACCCAGTCGCAATCATAAATGTCCGGGGACCAAGAAAAGCGCAAAGCAAGGTTCTCTCCCCGAGAGACCCTAGCTACCGTTGGGGCTCCGGAATGCCGACAAAACATGCTGATTTTTCGTGATTCAACCTAGACCTATCAGATCCACCGAAGGAAGAAGCTGCTTCGCTCCTGACGAATAAGAGGTTTGCCCTCAGCAGGCGGCTCTCAGACGAACGCTTCCCGCAATCGCCCGTCTTCGAGTCTTCCAAAAGGGCTCGTGTTCTGGCTGTTGAACTCGAGATCACACGGAACGATGGATAGGGTACCCACGGCGGGATCCTTCTGCAGCGCATGAATGACCAGCGGGAGATATTTTCCTTCTCTACCGAGTCATCTAGTGGCTATCGTGGTAGCAGGCCCCCGTGGGGGCTTCCGATGGAACCTCTGGATCATATATATGCCATGATTAAAGCTGCACAGCCAAGTTTGTTGGTGGGGAATCGAGGGAGGGATTTCGTCTTGACTCGCCGACTTCGCCATGCGAGAAATTTTCCTCAAGCGTGGACGGGCACTCTTGGATGCTACCGTTCTGATTCTGGGTTCACAGCCATTGTCCACAAGCATCTTCCTTGGGCGTGCTTTTTCTCCACGGACACGGAACGCTCAAGGAGAACATTCCGCGAACACAACGATAACCTTCGATAAGTTTGAGCAGCGGTCTGATCGTGCTACTCATGTATGAAGCTGTGGCGGAGCGGCGTCAAATATGTTCAGTCCGCGAGAGAATGTTTTGGTATGTGATTTCACGCGGATAACAGAATTCGCATATTCACAACCGATGCCCTCATAGGAGCGCTCGGACCACTCGGCCTTATTTTCCGCCCATCGATCGTTCGGATTGCGCTCCAAAAAGCTACCTCTAGATGCGTGGTAAGTACTCCGCTGACTGAGAATGGATCGGGTGAAGCCCATCAGACCACGGGATAAGTTCTCGATAGGTGATATTTTCTGTTTACGATTTGATCCCAATCCATCGCGGACGAAAACTAGGGAATGAGCAGGGGAGCCAAACGATAATCCTTGTGCCGATTCTCTTCGGAGAGTGATTTTCTTGATCTTCTTGTTTTTTCAGAAGGTCTGGGGCCTCCCAATGATCCCTCGGAAAAGGAGGGAAACATACAACATGCAAATTCAATGAGCATTTTTTTCCTTCCAGCGAGAATGGAGCACGCCTGCGTTCTCCAAAACCCCGACATGTCATTCGGTCGACATGCGTCGAGGTTCATCGCGGATTCGGGACTGCTCTTCCTGATTGTGGGTACGCTCCGGGTCCAATTATTGATCCGTGGCGCGTACCACTGCTTCCTGAGACAACTCCTCGGTCCAATGTGAACTTCAAGAAGTTTGCCGGGAAATGGGCTGTCGTCATGGGAGCGTCCGGTGGCATCGGCAGGGCTTACGCGGAACAGCTCGCGCAGAAGGGCATCTACATCTTTTTGATATCAGTCAAAGCTCGACGAGGTCGCTGCCGTGATCCAGGACAAGTTCAAAGTTGAAACGAAGATCCGCAAGCTCATCTCGAATATCGAAGTCGCTGTGCTGGTGAACAATGTCGGCATGAGTTTCCACTACCCGGAGTATTTCACCGAGGTGCCCGATGGTGATCACCGCATGGATCAGAAGATCCAGGCTAACTGCACGTCGGGAACTCTCATGATGCGTCTTCTTCTTCCGGGAATGGCTTCTCGACAGAGTGGAGTTGTCATTAACGTGTCGTCCTCGTCGAACATGTCCCCGTTGCCGCTGCTCGGCGTCTACGCGGGAACGAAAAGCTATATGGCGACCGCATGTGAATATCAGAATCTCGGGGTCATCGACCAGTCGGTGAAGCCAGCGTCCGTGTCGACGAAAATGTCCGAGATCCGCAAAGCCAGCCTCAATGTTCCGATCTCGGATGCCTATGTCCGACAAGCCCTCACCACCGTCAGACTTGAGATGTCAACCTACGGTTATATCCCCCATAAGATAGGCGGCTATTTCCAGGAGGTAGCTTTTAACAGCATGCCTCTCCACTGTATGTTGTCCTTGTCTCTCAGGATGATGTCCGGACTTAGAGCCCTCCGCTACGAGAAGGACAAGAGAGAGGACCCTAATCAGCAACTCAAAAAACGACAGTAGATCGAGTCAGGCAGCCCGACCACTCCTAAGAATTCAAGATTCCTATCCAATCACGCGGTGAATAAAATGTGCGATCTTTCTACAAAATGTTTTCCGAAGCTCGCTCGATCCTCCGGAGGCTGATTGAATAATATCTGACTGATATCAGCGCGCGCGCCTCGAGAGAAATCTCAAGCGAGAATTCGTTGGCTGGGATTCCCTCTGCCGAGAGCACCCGATTGCATCGAAGTCATACGAACAGACCCTCAAATATATGGATCAAGGCCTCAGTGATGCGTTCGATACCTGATGAGAATGATCATTTCCACCAGCAACTGTTCGCTCCTCGAATATTATTTTCGGTTTCCTAGATTGAAGAATTTCTGAAATTTAAGTACCGCACTTCAATTGAAAGGAATGCTGCGAGGAGCATGCTCCGATTGAGGGGCAAGCGAAAGGCTGACGAGGGGCAAGCGAAGGGCATCCCACGGTCCGGATCAAAAATCGGGGATGGAGCATATGACTCGTTGTGTACACGACTGGATAGATAGTAATGAAACACGTTATCATCCCTCACCCGATGAGCCCAGTGCTCTTCCCGCCATTGCTCGACTGATCTCGAAAAAAGTTCAGTTTTTTCCCGTCTTATTCGAATAATCGGAGGGATTTCTTTGAGAGGGAGGGAGGCCCCCGCGAGGATTGGAGAATTGCTGGGCATGCCTTTGAGTTAGAGGGAATACGCAGTCTAGTTTGATGCAAATTGAATCATATCAAGACACGTACATCTGCTTCCAGCGATTCGCCCCGGTACATTGACTGTGCTTGAAGTGGCGGACAAACACGGAGGGGCAAGCCAATAGTGAGTTTCCCGAGGAACCTTCGCCCTCCCTGGCTTGGGAGTCCACCAAAATCGTTCGCGAACATCGGCCCAAGAACTTCGCTTCATTCGAGAGTCAGCTGAGAATGGGAGAACAAGACAGAGCTCTGTTTGCTCGGCGCCGGCTGCGTAACGTCGTTCCGGAAAGCCGTTTTATATTCGTCGCTTATCAGCGAGAGCGAGTGAAAGACGTGCGAACGTGTCAACGTCTCCCGTTGAATTCGATAGCCGCACCTTAATTGTGGCTTCGATCAACCTCAGTCAGTCAGATGAAACCTCATATCAGAATCGGAAGATCCAAAGTTCCCTACGGATAATCGTCATTGGGGCCTGGTACTTCCGAGACCGAAGTGCTCGTAGACTCTCGAGAAGACTAATCTTTGGGGGCGGAGATCCATCTCTATCGGCAGCGTCGCCGTTGTTGAGAAAGACACGCTCGGACGATCGGGACACGCGAGGGATATTTCCCTCAGTTTGCATTTATAATCATTTTCTCAGTCACGGAACACCGTAAGTGTTCAACTGAAGATGTTGAACGCGTATTCGTCATGGAGCTTGTGGCGCGCCCCATCTGTGTGGTCTTCGTGATTCTGCATCTGAGCCTCGGAGTTCCCTTGGCTTGGACTTCGGCAGGGAATTTCCGCGGGACCGTGCAGGATTTCGGCAAACGTCAAGTCGAAGTGTTCGCCGGGATACCGTTCGCGAAACCGGCCCTGAAACTCAATCGTTTCAGACCGCCAGAGAAATTGAAACGTTCCCCGTTGATTTCGAGGTTCGCTCCCTTCGGCGTGATCAAATACCCCGCGTCCTGTGTTCAGTCGCCGGCCACCAACACGAGTGAGGACTGTCTGTATCTATCTGTGTGGAGACGTCAGGGAACAATCGCAATTAACCGGAAACCAGTAGTCGTAATCATACATGACGGTGGCTTCTACAGAGGGAGTGGCCACGGTGAATGGCACGGAAACGCTCTCGCGGCTCTGGGAGACGTAATCGTGGTCGGCTTCAACTATAGGCTCGGAGTGTTGGGTTTCCTCGATCTCGGCGTGCACGGCGCCGAAGGCTCCGTGGGACTCGAGGACAAGCAACTCGCTCTGGGATGGGTCCATGATCACACATCCGGGTTCGGCGGGGACCGGCATAACATCATTCTTCTCGGTACCGAAGCTGGGGCGTCCAGCGCGATTTACCATATCAACCAGACCTCGAGTCGATACCAGGGTGCGATCGTCGATCTGCTATGGTCACCCCCAGACGATAAAAGAACTCTCTTCGAAAGAGGACTCGAGGTCTCCAAGAACCTAAATTGTTCAGGGGGAGAACCGGAGGCAATCGCTTTCTGTTTGCGCACGCAGAGTGTGGAAACTTTGGCAGGAATAGGCCAAATTTTCCATCCAAACATAAGCATTGACGTCAGGACGAACGGCCTCCCCGTGGTAGTCGGCTTCGCCGTGCCTGGTTCTCGTAACGTCGCTTTGGCGTCTGTATGCAAAACACTCCGCTGGGCCGAAAGCGCTGCAGAAGCGGGATCTTCGGTGAACCTGTTTCTCTGGCGAAAAAATTCAGCGGCCCTACTGGAGTTCATCGGATCTGCTCTGGGCTCGCGCTCCGGAGACAGTGAATCCTCTCAGGACCATAACAATCCCGCGATCCCGAGGTTGAACTTGACGGAGACTGTGAGGGAAATCACTCAGTGGGAAAGCTCAAATCACTCCCTCTTTTGGACAAATGCAAGCCCGGACACCGAATCAAACGAGAAATCGGTCGAAAGGCTGACGTTGGCCAATCTCGGCAGAGAGAATCTCGAATGAGGGATATGAGGCTGATTCGATCCGTGTTCGCCACGGTCAATGGTCATCCGAGAGTTTCAAAGAAATTTCACAATAACTCGCTTTCGATTCATTGCTGTCCCCATTGGATTCGTCCGAAAACGTGCATGATAAAGTCATGGATTATCTTTCAGGAATATTGGGCGATACTGAGATGATAAAGAGGCCGACGAGCCCGAGCGGCTCCCACGCGGTCTCCGATGAGCTCTGGGAGCAGATTCCGGGCACAGAAAAGATTTTCCGCTCCGAAAGTCTGCACCGTGTAGGATGCTTTTGTTGTACCGATGAAAGGGAAGCGAGGCCCTCAAACTCGTTGGGCCATTCAAAGAATTGAAAACAATACAGGAAATCGATTAGCACACAGAAATCCTGTCGACGACGAGTGGAACAGCTCTGAGCGGAAAATTTGGAGGGACTTTCAAGGCAGATTATGTTCAATGCGGTCGCGAACGATAACGAGCGCTATAATCCATTCTCATCGGGAGACCGAATACGTCCTAGGTGATTCGGATCGCACGCATTCTACGTGGGGTGATTCTGAGTTCGTTCCCCGCCGGGAGCCTCAACCTGAGCGAGATCACGCTGGGAAAGGAGTCGATACTCTACCCGGAAGTCTTCCGAGCTCCTCGAAATCAGGAGTGTCCCACAATTCATGAACTCAACGTCGCCGCCGTACACGAGCCCGGGCTTCGTTTGGGCGGTTTTGTGACTCAACTTGTCAAACGAACAGCTCCAGCCACCGCTGGACGTGATCGGAAGCCAGAATATGAGCGAAAATAATTCAGAATCTGCTGCTGAGACTGTCCTCTAGAATCGCCCGCGGCGATTGTATGCAGCTTGGGAAAAGCAACGTCCGGGCGTCCACGGTTCTGCCGCGTAAAGAAAATTTCAGTCGCGTTCCCTCGTTGAGAGGCGTTGCCCAAGCGGACGGTCAGCACTTGCAGTGAGCTATTCGGAATCGGCGCTGTGTGTTTTATGCCCGTCGAGACTATTGAAAGCAGCAAGTACTCATCGGGGAAAGCGATTCGAGCGCTCAGAGTTCGAACATGTGGAATATGAGCGGGAGCTGGACTCAAAGGAAATATGAAGGATCTCTCGCAGCTGTTTGTTACAGAAGCGAAAAACCAATAGTGGCGAACGAAAATTACTGAACGAGTGGCAGCGTGAGAGGTAGAGAGAGCCTCCATGCCAAGACTCGATCGAATCGATCTGCGGGCGGCGATTGAGAACGGTCCCCGGGAACTTCATAATTGCTGCGCCTTCGAGTTCGACAGCAGCAGTTCAAAATGGAAGCCAAGCTCATTTTCGTCGGAATCGTCTTGTGCAGCAACGTTGTGTCAGGTGCGCGAGGACCAGAACTTTTGAGCGAGCTCTTGGCGGGGCAAGGATGTCAAAACTGTGATTTGAACTCGGTGCTTCCTGTACAGTGCGAGCAAAACGACTTCGACAGCGTTCGTCACGCAAGATGCCAACTGCGCGTTCACGCCCAGACCGAAAAGCGCCTCATCCAAGCTTCCATGGTTGTTGAATCTATTTATGAAATTGCGGAAACTCGAGCAACTACGAATGGGTCCGAGTCGAAAACGAGTACGAACTCGGAAACCGCCAACGAGTGTCACGAGGCTGCGGGCTTGTGGAACTCGTTCTTGCGATGGTTTAGGAGGGACAACCAGCCGTGTGCAGCACCCACGCCCGGCAGTTTCAGCGGTGGGAACTGAATTCGCTCATTCCTGGAATCTATCTGCAGTTGATTGTGAGCAGTTCGTATCTTCGAGTCGTTATTCGCAGTCGCAGCTCGACGACCATTCTCGTCTATGAAGGAAGGGTCATGAATAAAGCATTGCGACCTTCAGAAACGTCTGATTCCTTATATTAGGGGCGATTGTATGATTGCATAGCTCTTCCCTCGGCTTCTCAAATCTCGGGTCCTGTACGAGCGCCACGATTGCTCAGGCGACAGGAGTATCTACATAGAGGCCCATATGGTATCGGAGGCTCACCAAATTATAATACTTTCCAGAAGTCTTCCAAAGGTACCACGATTCAATTGTCCGAAATTCACGCTCCAAGGCGGGCTTACTCACCCATCTGCCACCGGAAAGAAACGATTCAAACTTGAGTGCGCGTCACTTTGAACTCCACCGCCGACCTCGTGGACCATCAAGCCGTGGGTCAACGGTTCGTTCCCGAAGCTTTCGCTCATTTAGAAGATAGTCGTCGTTTCCACCCTGCTTCCTCAGCGGATCGAGGTTTTGGTTCCATGCCTCATTGGCGTCCGGAAGGTCGCAGCAGAAGCGGAGGGTTCCACTTGGAGAATATCTCCAGCGCTATCTTCAGACTATCAGATTATACTCGGACCTGCCGAGATGGGTCAATGCCATGGATATTTACTCTAGTGCCGATCGGAGCCAGATTCGCATCGATAAAGAATCCTGAGTCACGAGAATCACTCACTCGTGAGCTCCGGACGCTTTTCCTGTCAAAAGAGGTGGCCGTGACGAAACACCGGAGAGTTCTGGAAAACATTGTAGGAAAACATCATCGATCACAACAAAAAAAACGCTATCTGCATAACTCGGGAGATACCTACTGAGTGAGCCATTCGCGAACGAGACTCCCTGACGCTTCCTGGATGGAAATGATGGCCCCACTCGGAGAGTCTATGATCGAACGCAAACGAACTCGATTGACTCCTCTTCGCTCGAATATTCTCTTCGAGACCATCCGATCACGCTCTTCTTACAAACCCGCAGAGAAGCGCATTCATCGACAAAATAGGTACCTAGACTCGATCCATCCCGATGAAGTTCGGATAGAGAAAGGAGTATCACGCGCGAGAATCGATGAGGGGAACGATGACGAAATAATGACCCTCTCCAAGATTTGCCACGCTCGTCACAAGGCTCCGGTGTCTTTTGTCCGGATCGATAATGTCCGATACCGTCGAAAAACGGCGGTGAATGGAGTTTCCTCATTCTCCCGCTCAAGTATGTCCGTTCGGGGGGCTCATCGAGTTCAGAATTCTCGGAGGAAGCTGAACGATACCCCGAGAAATTCGGAGCTCGTCATGGATCCCCGGTCGCGCCACCCCTAGGGCTACCGCCTCGTCATCAGATGTCTGCTCTCGAGTCATTTTATCAATGATTGAAGTTCTCTACAAGGTCATTGATTACTCAAGTCACGACACGATCAATTGAAGAAAATCACAGAACTCCGATCATTATCCGCCATGAAAACGAACGCTTTGTTCAAGGTAGGAACCGAGACAGATCCTCGGAATAACTCACACGCACGCCCGCGCAACCGTGTCAACGCTCCGGGGGCTGGAGGCGGTACGTTGGAACAAACCTTCGTGCCGCCCATGGAAATTGATCAATGCAGGTCGTTTGCGTGGAAGCACGTTGACTGAGTTTTATGTTTTCGCATTCGCTTTCTTGGCTGAGGAGCTCTCGCAATCCATCTTCATCTCGCACGCGAACGAGTAGGCCTATTCGCCGAGGCCTTCTCGCACACCGGCTGGATAGCCCAGGGTGCAGTACCTCAGTAGGCTCCGATGCTCATGTTCAGGGCTGCTTTCTTAGCTCTCGTGCTCAGCAATGTGCGTGAATAATAGACAAACTCCTGGTGCTTTTTGTTCCACCGGAGAGGGGATGGGCCACCTTGCTACAAGAAGTGAAGGACGCTTCGTCAACGTTATCAGATACGATTCATCCGATGGAGGTGTTCTCGCTAACAAGCTAAGAATGGGAAAAATTACACGATGGAACAAACTTCTCGGGAGAATTGGAAGTGGATTCGGGCGCCCCCTCAGTCGGCGGGTATGGGCGCGGGAGGTTCCCTGATATGAGCACTAGCCGATGTGCGGCAGCCTCGTTCGAGGGGAAAGTCGATTTTTTCGTACCCTATTCTCGATTTCCGGGCCATTCTGGTCAAAGTCAATTCAGAACATCAAAATGAATGAACTCAAGCTCGCAACTGAATCGAGCTCGGACTCACTCCTCATCCCGACCCGAGGATGTCACGATTGCGAATATCTGACATTTCGTGGACTCGAAGTTTCGTCGCTGAAAATTACTTCGTAGTCACGGCGTTCCTGAGACAGGAAAGTCTCATTTCCGTCCATAGGACACTCGAAACCTCACTATGTTCACTCCGCCATACCGGAGCAGAATAATTTCGCGTTGCAAAACGGACGCATTCCCACCGCCGAAACACAGGAGTCTGGGTACTCCCACAGGCCGAGGCCCAGAGCCCAATGCTGTATTGGAGATCGCGTCAATTCTCTGGGCCTCAGTCGACCAGCGACGGGAAGCTGAGGGATCCGGGTTAACTTTATGAGTCGCGTCGTCGCACTGACGTTGTCTTGATCCAAAGGGCGCTGCTCATGTCCGGCAGGCAGCTAGCTGTTGTTCGCGGGATGACAATGGTCTCCGTGCTCCACCCTCTCCGATTTTTCCAGGAGGGAAGCCGAAGTCTTCGTCTCGGGTCAGTGATCGATTTTATTCCAGACTTCCAGATAGTCAAGGAGAGCGTCGCACGCCCATCTCATCCCATCCGCCCAGGAATGCCGAAAAGAATCGCTGCGACGCGACGTAGCCCCATCAGTCCCATCACTGTTCACCGGATATTACTCAATCATCGAGGATCCCGTCTCAGCTCGATGCCAAAAACCACAATCCGCCGGCCCGAGAGCAGAAGAAAATGAAGAATCATCCCTCCTCGGCTCTCAGCTCATCGGCTGATTTCCTGTCGTCGGTCACAATAGGGTCATAACGAAGCGTTCCCTGGCTCCGGCCGTCATGTGAGTGTGGTCCTCGTAAGATGCCTATCGACGATGACGGAACTCCTCTCGTTGGGTTCCATAGTGATCATTCGCCTGGGAATGACTTCCACTCACAATTAGCTGATCTGAGGACGCCAAGTACATTCCTGAAATTCTTCCACAAGAATGAGATTACAAGGGGCGCGAAGAGTTCCCTGGG